TGTCCAATATTGTTTTCCCTAAATTTTTTAATCTCTAATTGTGATTAATTTGATTATCGATCTTTTAAACAACGAATATAATTGTGAAGTACTAAATTTATTAAATAATGTATGCCCCAAATTATTTAAGTTTGTTTATCTTCTATTTCTTTATTTGCAGAATATTCAATAAAGTCAAGTCTATTGAAATCAAAATGCAAATGTTCATAGTTCCGTCCAATATTGTTTTCCCTAAATTTTTTAATCTCTAATTGTGATTAATTTGATTATCGATCTTTTAAACAACGAATATAATTGTGAAGTATTAAATTTATTAAATAACGTATGCCCAAATTATTTAAGCTTATTTATCTTCTATTTCTTTATTTGCAGAATATTCAATAAAGTCAAGTCTATTGAAATCAAAATGCAAATGTTCATAGTTCCGTCCAATATTGTTTTCCCTAAATTTTTTAAACTCTAATTGTGATTATGACGCAAAACTCAGTTACGATGTAACTTTCTTTTAAAAAACGCAACGATCGAAGCTGAAGTAAAATATGCAAGTTACTAGCTTAATGCTGGTTCAATTTCGCTTTAGACGATCCCTTGAAAGTTTATGTTAGGAGAATCCCTTAATCGATAACCTAATGCGATTTGCCAACATCAGCTATAATATATTGTACTTCGCATGTGTACATTATCCAGCAGGGATACTAGATTGCACATAGTAATCTCGAAGCAAAATGTTTATCCTGACCATGTATTGTCTACCCCTATTATAAAGCTGCATATCAATTAAATCAATTTCTTCCAACCTAGTTGATGCTTTAATTCCTATGAAACTAGTAGCGTATTGTATCCCAACGAAACCTTTTTGGCAAAAGACTGATTTTTATCATTTTTCTAGCATAACTGAAACCTATTGGAACATAAGGATCCTATCATAAATGAAGAGTACATCGAAAATCAAGCGAAAGATAAATCATATTTTCTATTCTTTTACAGGAAACTGATTTTGAGATTCGCTACATTTTCTATCAATTTCGTATTACTAAATTTGTCTTTATAGTTGATTTTGGGGCTAAACATGTATTTTTCACCCCTCGCAAAATTTTAAAAATATCTTTCGAAATATTGCAGTATTGAAGATATTAAAGTATTTCTGGTTTGAATGAAATCATAGGTAGCTTTTTTGGCTCCACAAAATTTGGCCAATTTATCAGCTATCTTTAAAAGATCTTTTCAAACTTGGATATGTAGACGTTATAGTCGGCATCGTTATATTATTACATCCTTTGTTTAAAAAGTCTGTCTCGAAAATCCGTCTTGTATTCGTATGACGACTAAATTATTTCTGTTCATTCTGTTTGGAAAAAGAAAAAAGAGAGAAAGAAAATATTCCATCTTCTGGAATATTTCCCGACCCTCTGTCTACAAAGGTTTTACTCTTGTGACTTTCATCTACTAGAGAGTATAGAACATGACCGTCTATTTTCAAGACTCTTGTAGTATTTCCTGCGCATACATTTTTATCATCTCCTTTACATAGGAAATTCTATTATAATTATAATAATTAATAATGTAATTAATATAAATAAATAATATCGGAAAATACCAATATCAACGGAAACGTTTCAACCTTTGCAAAATTTTACAAACCTAATTACAAGTGACTATTCGTTTAACATACAAGAAGTGCTACTTTTAATTTAATAGTATACTTTGAAATCGTTAAAGTTGGTGTAAAATATGGTAAATGACATTTTATGTGATATCCTGAAGATTTAATTAATAAATTAGTAATTAATTAATATGAAGAAATTAAGAGATAATATAATAAATAGGAAATAATTGTGTAAGGCTACTTGCATAACAACGTTGGTCATGATTAATTTATTTGTATATTTGATTGTTGATTTCTAAAAGTAATTGAATTCAGTTTGTATTATCATAATAATCGAGTGATTATAAGTTGGCGTATTCATGCAGTTGTAATACGAGAAAAACAGATTGAGTTGAAAATTCAAAGAATAGTGACAGCTAAATTTATATAAATTTGTATTACAGAATAATTTACAATATTCTATATTAATTTAAGTGAAACGTTTTCTTTTCATTGGAAATATTCCTACACATACATACCTACATTTCTAAACAAAAGTGTTGGCAATCTAGCTCCAATCATCGTACACAACTCTTCATAATTCAGTAAAGAAAGTGTTCTCAGTTGAATTCTTTTGTAAAATATAACTGTCGATTCTAAAGTTTAAGTATATCATAAATCATAAATTTTCAAAATGGTTGTAATAAAGAAAAAAAATAAAATACACATGAAGGGCCGTTTTCAGTGAAACAAAAGTATCGACACACTTGGAAAATTTGTTATTACGTGTATTATACTTAATATTTGTCAACGTTGTCAAACCTGATATGTTGTAGGATGTTCTTCCATTCAAACTGATCGTCATTTTTTAAAGTTACTGAGAATATTTCGCAGAAAAAGAACAAAAACGCGAATAATGGGAAATAAAATAAAAAAAAGAACAATCGTTGAAAGAAAGATTGTATTAAACTTATATGAGCAAGGAAAAATTTATTCGGAGATAGAGAAAATTATTAGCAAAAGTCGTTTTACCGTAAAACGTGTGATTAAACGATTTCTTTGTAAAATAGACCTAACAAATGTCACACGTTGTGGACGTCCTTAGAAGCTTAAAGACCAAGAAAAAATGAAGATAGTCAACATATTTAAAAGAGAATCTAAAACTACATCCTTGCAAATAGCTGGAATAGTAAACAACATAAAATTTCGGAGAACGCTGAAAACTGCTGGATATGAAAAAGGAGATTTAATATTTTTCAATGTGATGGACGGGTTTTAGTTTGGCGAAAATCGAATACTGAATTAGATGAAGAAACCGTCAAGAACGGAGGTGGTAGGATAATGATATGCCAGCGTATGAGCTCTTCTGATGCAGGAGAGTTTGTTCTCATCGCAAATATCATGGCCAAATATAATTATTTAAATATTTGAAAGCAAACGTGGGGAAAAATGAAATTTAGGACAAGATCATTATTTTCAACAGGGTAGTGATCCCAGTCCATATTGTTAGACAGTGGATCGTTTTTAATACACCGCATATGCTAATTAACAACTCCCCCACAATCCCCTGTCCCAAATCTTACTGAGAGTTTTTGATTTGAATTAGGAAGATAGTTTAAAGCACATCGTATTGCTTCTGAGCAAGATTTGAAGAAAGTATTCCTTGGAGAATGGTAGAAAATAGGTCCAAAGACCAGAAAAAAATTAGTATATCCAATATCTAATTGTTTAAAAGCTGTTATAAAAAAAACTATTATTAAATTATAAACAAATATTAAATCAGACGTTATAATAAATTTATACTGCAAAATCGTAAGCGTGCCAATACTTTTGGTTCGCATTGTATGTATAAGCATTATATTAGGTTGTCCGGAAAGTGTCTTTCTTTTACAGACACGTGTTTTACAACGACGCGTCTTTGTACAAACATGAAACCCAATCTATAGAACGTTGTGATTTTTATTTTGATAAAACAAAATGGATCGTACGAAATTCGGTAAAATAATTGTAAACGTGCCAATGCTTTTGGTTGGCATTGTATGTGTAAGTATTGTATTAGGTTGTCCGGAAAGTGTCTTTCTTTTACAGACACGTGTTTTACAACGATGCGTCTTTGTACAAACATGAAACCCAATCTGTAGAACATTGTGATTTTTATTTTGATAAAACAAAATGGATCGTACGTAATTCGGTAAAATAATATAAAACGGAAAATGTTGTGCATCCATTATTTCCTCATAAAACGAATTTCCGGACGACTTAATATTATCAATCTTATAATATCAATCATTCTAATAAATTATAAATAGGTGTTAATAAGTATATTAAGTTAGATATACAGTTATTAATATTACACTCGTCAATACTACGTTTTTATAAAGAATCAAATTAAACAATTTAATATTTATAATATTTTCACATTAAACAATTCATCAAATATGATTTTCTTATTCTTCTTCTTCTTATTTCTTTTAATAAAATATATATGAGTGGAGATTATTTTAATTAAAGCAGAGAAAAAATCAACGGAACGAACCGTAACTTGAGGGACTTTTAGAATACGTCAGTCTACGCTCTACAGTCTACACCATCTACCTTACCTGACATCTTCATGAATCGCTGTGCAGACATCTCCCTTTGGCGATCTCTTGTCCGATATAAATGAATGTGCTCTATAAACATGGCGTGGAGTGAAAGACACTGATTGCCATGTTAACTTCCAGAAGTATTTTTTACTTTTACGCCTCTACGAAACTGAAATAAAATAAAATGTATTATTTATGCACTTCGTGATGGTAATTATTTAATTATAAAGCAGATAGTGACCCCTTTACGTTTAATTAGTTACGTATGGCTTGCGACACCTGCAATTATCAGATTAAGGTGTATATTTTGTACGAAAGGAAATATTAATATTGATAATCAAGCTATTAAGGGCTAAGCAGTGAGATAATGCACGAAAACAAAATTATCGTGAACATGGATAAGCTTGTATCAGCAATTCAATAAAGTAATGAGTAAGTACGTCATGAAACTAAGTAAATCAAAAACACGAGAATACTTTTAATAATTTTTAAAAAATGACTTAGCATATTTCAGTTTTTGCCGAATTTCGTAGAATTATAAAGATTTGGTGGAAAAATAAAAAATGACTCGAAGAATACCGAGTAAATCCTTGAGGTGTCCTTTCACAACTACAATGTACAAAACCAAAATTTATTAATATACAGGGTGGTTGGTAACTGATGGTACAAGCGGAAAGGGGGTGATTCTACGCGAAAAAAGAAGTCGACAATATAGAATAAAATTTTTATATATATTTGACAAAGCTCGTGAAACTATTTTATTGCTTAAAAAAATTTATATATGTAATATACAGGGTGGTTGGTAACTAATAAATTCTAGTATCTAGTAGATCAAACATTTGAACTACCGATGGCGATGCGTTTGAATTGTATCGATATTTGGTATCGGTATGTATTAATACGCAGACATGATGACAGATGTATTCGTACATATGTTATCAGGGATAAATTATCGGTATCGATAATTAAATCGGGAGTAATAAAATCCAAAAATGAAAATAAACTGTTTCTTTAAATTAAATATTTGAAATATACAAAAGTATATAATTAAATATCGAACTGAAATACCAAATATCGAATATTTTACTCGAAATACTACTCGTTGACTAGTTGAAAAAATAGCAATTATTGCAAATATTCTCTGTTTGAGCAATTTCTTGCTTCATATATACATATAACCTATAGAATGTATAATTTTACAAAAAATTCAATTATCTTATATCGAAATGTATATTTTCACAAAAGGTTCAAAGTTCTTGCTCGCTTGTCTCCACTTCAGAACTAATTGCAACCTAAATGCATATTTCACATATACAGGGTGGTTGGTAACTGGTGGTGCAAACGGAAAGGGGGTGATTCTACGCGAAAAAAGAAGTCGACAATATAGAATAAAAATTTTCTGTTTAATTTTTTTTAAAATCTACAGTGAGATCCGCTATAACGAGACACGATAAAGTGCACGCGTACCGAGCGAAAATTCAAAGTCGATTTCCTCGAAAACAAAGCCTCAAACGAAAAATTGTTATTCTATATTTTCGACTTCTTTTTTCGCGTAGAATCACCCCCTTCGAAAACAAAGCCTCAAACGAAAAATTGTTATTCTATATTTTCGACTTCTTTTTTCGCCTAGAATCACCCCCTTTCCGTTTGCACCACCAGTTACCAACCACCTTGTAGATTGACTGGGAGACAATTTCAAATGGAAAATTGCATCTAGGAAAATATAAATTATAGAACGAAATTAAAAGTTAAAAGCATCGAAATAAGACAATATAGGTTTATATCAAAAGAAAACGTTTTAAATTATCCATACTTTCACGGTTAACTTATTATCCGCTGTAAAACACTAAACGTAACATAATGCTGGGTACGATAAATATACATAAAATTTCTCTTATTTCGAAAGTTTTTCAGTTTGAAACGTGAAAAGTTGGAAGAGATCTATAAAATTGGAATAATACCTATTCCAAGGGACTCCAAGTTTCATGGTAACTGATATCACCGGAAGAGCATGACACAGACATGTGTTGAATGCGCATCGATATCCTAACGTTTCGCTCTGCTAACTTCCTATCCCTATCGACATTTTCCAAATTTTTACACAATTAATTCTATAATGGTATCGTCTTATTGAAATGATAAACCTTCGCATAGTAATCGAATTTGTATAATACATATAATGTAATTCCATTTTTCGATTAATATTTGTTAAATATTTTTAAAAACGTTAACCAGAACAATATAAGATATTAGGTTTTAGCATATGAAATTTCTATTTGCTTCAGATTCTTTAAGTATAGTTTACATAACATTAAGTGTTGATTTATGCTTTTTCGTTTCATGTATCTTCTTGAAATAGCAGATTTTACAGAATGCACTTCGCAACGGCATAAACACGCACGAAAGTTGAGTCGTTTTCCCTTGTGAGATTAAACTCGATTGTATTATGATTAAAAATATAATAAGAATATTGATTAATATTAGTAACATTGCAAATTAAACTGCGGATTTTTATATTTTTTTGGAAGACTTGAACGTGCAAATATGTATATAATAGGCAAATGTATAATATGTTCAAAGTATAGCACTTGTCATAGCATTTACTAGATAAAATAATTCTCCGTCTAAGTATATTCATAAAACTATGAATTTGCTATGAAAACTATGTAGTCTATTAATAATATTATAAAAATGGTCTTACTAACGAATAAACTCTTCATTAATAGTTTCCAAACGTTTAAATAATAGCGAATTATATGAATTTACTGACTTGAGAGATCGTTCTTTTATTTTGTAAATGTCCTTTAAAACATGTTCTTAATAAAGATAAAACGGCTCGAAAATATTTGAAAAGGAAAGAACCATGAGTTAGAAAATAAGTGCTAATTACTTTCAGCAAATTTATATAGAAGAATCGAACGTATACAAATCAACTCTTTCTTGACACACCTAATTTTGAAAATGTAAACTTAAAAAAAAGGTAAGCAAATATACATCCATTATTATGATCTCCATAATTTTGAACTCTTAAAAAATTTCGTTTTTATTCGTATCAAAGTAGAATTGTTTTTCTTTGATGATAGTCAATTAACATCCGTTCTCGAATAAATTTACATACAATTTGCACGAACACGTCTATCGGTATTCGAGGCCAGTATACATATATACTGCAAAATAACGGGTATGTCAATGGGCTGAAAATGATATGCAAATATAAAGAATACGATCAATCACATACTCTGTGAAGTATTCCACGGATCTGTGCTGAGCTCATCATCGGTCCCATGAAATCCAATATCGCGTGATAAAAAACTATACCAGAGGTTTAACATACGATACCACAGGTTTCCCACCTTTCGTCTGAAATGTAAACCAATCCGAACACCATGGTGTTACATTGAATAAAGAAACTGAATTTTTGACGGACACTTTGACGACGGTACATCTTTACAAGCCTCACCGTGTTGAATTCGAATCTGCCACACTATTGTTGCTAGAAATAAAGCGTGTTTCGGTGAGCCTTTAAAATTTGCATAAATTGATTCATGTCGACACAGAAAGTTGGAAAGTAGTTGGTTAGAAAGTTTCTATTTAGAGCGAATCTATTCAAGAAAACGTGATTCAAAAGTCCTTCAAAAAGAAATAAAAACGATACGCTTTCAACGGACTCTGTTATTTATTGAATGATTGCGATATTTCGTAAGATTGTGTAAAGTAATTGTACACTGAATACGTAGACTACAAGTTGAAAATATTTTGCAACTTGAAAAATTTTGTAGAAGTATTGTTTAATAGATACGTAATAATATTATTTTTATAAAATTCAAGCTTATACTTAGAATGATAATATGTATCATATTGTATATGATGAATTTTAAAAAGTCTCATTGACTAGTATCCTTGGCATTCTCCACAGATATTTGTAGATTGTAAAAGAAGAAATGAAATCAAAGTTACTTTTTATTTAAAATTCAATTTAAAATTTGCTGAAAATTATTTTATATACAGTTAATAGACGACAGGTTCGATTCGGTTTAAGATCATCTTCAGCTTATTTATTTTTCCACACTTTATATATAATTAAGTATATGGAAATTTCTGCAAATTTGTATAAAATTCTGCACTTTTCTATATGTAGGTACAATTAATGAATACCTTTTAAAGCATATTTTTTAAACCCTTTAATATAGTTAAAAAAGTCTTAGAATAGGAACAGTTTTTTGTATAATTATTGTAACATTAATTGTAATATAGGTGCAAATAAATAAAAGAATACGTCGTACAAAATTCAAGATATTATCAAAGGCAAAACGACAAGATTGATAAATATCGCTGTGAATGTATTGTGAATATTAATTATACGTATTCAACAATAAAAATAAATGTAGTTATATGCATATGTAAGTATTATAAATCATTCAATAATATTCAAATGTTCGATATAAAGGTAGAAACTCAGTGAGACTATATTTGCTATTCTTACTGCAGTATTATAAAATTTACATCACATTTCTAGAGAAATAATTTTAGAATAACAATGGGTAATTGTATATTATTACATTCTGGAAGAAACAGTGATTCGTAATAATTATAAACAATGCTTTAATTAAACATATATACTTCTGCTTCGTTTTCTACAGTATTTGCATATTATAATATGGGATGTTGAAGCAAGTACATAGACCATTAAAGATAAAAGTCAATAAATTCATGAAATTTGGCCTGTAAATAAATACAAAGCAAATAAAATACAAAGCACTTGTTTCATCTATTCAAATTTTAACAAGTTGTTCTAGGTATACAAATGTAATGTTCCATTTTATTTTAGCTTTATCAAAGTTGGACGAAAACTTCTGCTATTTAAGAGCAGCTATTAAAGGTAGCAGTTATAAGAATGTGAGAATATGTTTCTGGGAAATTTTCTGTACCTTTATTTGTAGCTAAATATACAAGTTTGGAAATTAATAGTATGTCGAGCTAAAGCAAATTACGCAACATTATTAATATTCCATATTATATAGGTAAATATATCTTATTATTGATTTACACAATACTATAATATTTCTGATGAAAATGTCTGCTATATGTATTGTGTATAAACTATGTCTATTGTCCTTTAACGTTTATAACTAATTAAAGTAATCACATTATTAAATAAATATTCTATATCTAAAGTAATTAAATTACTAAATAAATATATGTTTTATAAATGAATGTATGTTTAAACTAAAAATGTAATACGTAGCTCGACATTAATTTTGCATATGCAATATATGCAATATTTTTGCTTCTTTATATTCTGTTCAATTATAGCAAAGAATGCTAATCCCGTGTAACAAAATGTTGTTACCATTATATTATAGGTGTTGAAATTAAATTTATCTAGCAAACTTATTATCGAACGTTGTTAATTATACTTAAATGTATAATGTAACGTACACTCATAAATAAGAGATGCTCACTTACAAAAGACTGATAAAATACAGACACAACGCCGACAATAACAGAATACACTAAACATTTTTAAACATTTCTGACAATTTCAATTTTCCTGGCAATTCAAAATAATTCCTCGATCAATAAAATGTAACAAAATAAAATGGAGAAAAATCGTAAAATCCTTTGCCCAGCAAGATATCCCTTTTGGTCTAGTAGAGCGTAGAGAGCATATCGTGATAATAAAATGCGCTTCATCGTTAAAATTGAACGACTTTATTGCGGTGAAACGACGCTAAAAATTTACGATACGAGAGGGAGCATCGTAAAGTGATCGTAGCACATGATTATTAAAACATGGCATCGACTTTTGCAATAGACACTGATCAATACCTTACAATTAGGGTTGTCAGCGTGTCTGCCTTAATCTCCACAACCTCCGTGCAGCTAATAATCCGATATCGGGTCGCTACAACCTGATTTCCTTCCTGCTTTCAAACAGGAGTCCGTGTTTCAAGTTTCGTGCAACAGCAAGGAATCGTGTGGTCCCTTTTTTTTTTGGTTCAATTTTCTTCTTCCTTTTCTTTCCTCTTTATTGCTCAAACGTGAAATCAATTCATTAAAGCGGAAGAATTCTGATCGCGTGAAATCGAGGTTAAATTTAAGAAAGGAGAATAATAATGATTGATCAAAAGGCTACGGAAGAGCAGATTGTTGACCTGCCTTCGCAGAATTTCATCAGATAGATTTACATCGCAACGAGCACGCTAATTGCTTCCCTTGATTGCCTTCCTCAAACGTGGCCATTTAAGCCGTACGGAATTAAATCTGTTTGCACTGGGATTTGGCCAGTTTTGACGAAGATGAATGCATCACTTGTAAATGGTCCTTTGCTGCGATCGACATTTGCGTACGTTCAAATTCCTAGTGAGCTTTCTTCCCATTTTATTCCGTGAGTTTTATGGACGTTCCTCCGAAGAGGATATAACAGATAAAGAGAAATAAAGAATAGAGGAAGCGAAGGACAATGGCCTTTCTGTCACACGCTCTACTGTGTACATATAAAACGAAAAAGGCAGGAGATGAAAGAGCACACTTTTGTCCTTTGCATCGCTAATTTCTCTGTATTTATTATTTAATTCTGTTCTTTCGTGCATTTATTACTTTTATCATGTTATTAGCTTATAATTATAATAAATAGAGATCATATAGCAAAAATATAACATTACTACAAAATATAACATTAACATAATTTATTTTCGTTCTTTTGCTAATTTCGGGTTAGTTCAGGAAATATTTGAATGTGCAATATATTATACAGGGTGGTTGGTAACTGGTGGTACAAGCGGAAAGGGGGTGATTCTACGCGAAAAAAGAAGTCGACAATATAGAATAAGAATTTTTCGTTTGAGGCTTTGTTTTCGAGAAAATCGACTTTGAATTTTCGCACGGTACGCGTGCACTTTATCGCATCTCGTTATAACGGATCTCACTCATCATGTAGATCGTCGTTTCGATTGACGTTATTTTTTTAATTTTTTTAATTTTTATTCTATATTTTCGACTTCTTTTTTCGCGTAGAATCACCCCCTTTCTGCTTGTACCACCACCCTGTATAATATATTATATACATAATTATGCAGAAATATTATATATGGATTATACTATACTATACAGGGTGTTTGGCTACAAGTTTAAAAAAATATAAGGGGTGATTCTTGATGCTAAAATAAAACAAAAATCAAGGATAAGAAATTGCGTTCTCGACTTTGTTTTTTAGTTATTGACGATTAAATATTAGTCGAAATACCCCTGTGCACCTTCGGGGCACCTGTGGATGGGACAATCGCGGTGCATGTATGAAATTTGTATAAACATTGCTTATATGTACTATATTATTTATTATTTATGGAGGCAAAGGATCAGAGGAAACATTAATCCTCTTTACTCGAAAATTTTATGAGGCAGTTTTTGATATGTTGTTATGGATCTTAATAAGTAACCAGGTTTATTCATCATCAGTTTAATCTACGAGTTTTCTTACGAAACGTCGCGCAGGATAGTTTACTTCTGCAAATATCATAGTCTTCTTCTTTACGACTTGTGCGAGGTAAGCTGTTGCCAATGTATCGTTCGATTTCAGGATCCTGTGTACGCCGCTGCTTAGGCTGACTTACTTTCGGTTGTGTAAAAAGGTTTGCTCGCGTACAGGGATATTTCGGCTAATTTTTTTATTGTCAATAAGTAAAAAACGAACCCGAAATGCAATTTTTTTATTCTGAATTTTTATCTTATTTTAGTTTTAAGAATCACCCCTTAAATTTTTTACACTTGCAGCCGAACACCTTGTATATACTTACATACAATATATATAATATATAATATAGTTGCAAAGAACAATTGATACTATATTATATGAAAAAATGTCTTAAAAATTGTTAATAAATTCAGGAAGTTTTGTCGAAAGCAAAATTTCCGGCATAACCATAGTAACGCGATTAATTTTTTTGAAATGCTCAATGCAAACATTGGAATTTGTAAAAACAAAATCAAATGAAAAAATGTTTTAGTAATATAAAATAACCAAACAACTATTGCAATTTTAAATTAATCTCCCAAGTATAAAATGGGAGAATTGTATACACATATATTTTGATTATATTAACATTTTATATAATGTTTAATAATTTTTAATTATTAATTATAGTAACTTCATATACTATTTTTGCCATTCTATATATTCTGTATACTAAGATCTAATTTTTGGTATAACAATATAAATATTATTTATTTACATTATATAGAAATTAAAGGAATAGTAGAATTATTGTATTAGAGCTTCAATGTTATCATTCATATTATAACACATTATTAATCTCTACAAATGAAAATAAATTAATCTCTAATATTTAATATAAATAAATGTTTGTATCTTGTTTCTAACTATTGATCATCATCACCTATCATTGATATTGCTATTGTAATTGAAATAATAATTTATTTGCGGATGACTTATTTGATATAAAATAAAGTTATTTTTCATAAGATATTCTTAAAATAAAAATACTACATTAATTCATAAATTGATTTATTTCTATTTCAATAAATAGGCCAGTAAAATGTACATATTACACGATATACTTGTGCAATAAACATTTAATGGCCGTTTTCCGATAAACTATTTACCAAAAAAAAAAATCACTACATACTCTGTTCACATATACGCGACAAGGGAGAAAATCAAATTTCCCTATAGCCGTAATTCCGTTAGCCCGTAAAAGAAAATAAAATACTTACCTTGTGATCTATTTGGAACATCTGTGCATCGCAGTATGGCGCTGTAGGATATTTGTCTATATATAGCTGTGATTTTATTGCCCAGCATCCTTTTGTGTTTATCACCTTTCTCCTTAATTAAAAAGTATGGGCCAATGTTTCAAACGATTTCAGTTTTACTGCTCGCTCAACATTCGTTCATGTTGTTTTCTCGTGCTGTTCCGTGGCCACGTACAAAGATACTTTACGTGTTTAAAAACAAAACTTTGTGTGCCTGGACAGTACAATATGCTGGTTTTTAATATTTTGTTAATGATCGTATTTTTTCAGTTTTAGAATGAACGCGACGACGATCTCTACAGGTGCAACGAGCACTCTGGCTGGAATTATTGGCATCGAGTCGGAAATAAGAATGGACAAAGCGGAAAACTCCTTAGACAGTGACCTTGACATTTCTCCGGTCACTCTATCCTCCGCATGGTCCAGAGTGGCGAGACTTCTTTTGTTAGCATCAATGGCTGTCGGCGGCAGTGTCGGCAACGTTTTCATGATCTCTGCGGTGGTGGTAGAAGATCAACTTAAGAAACGAGGTACTGTCGCCATCTGTTTCTAATGTTTCGTAATTTTAAGATCAATTCATCTAAGGACTACCATTTTTCTTTTATTATGGCTAAATTAATTGATTTTTAGAGTCAATATAATGAATAAAATGCTAATGTGTTAAATATATAAATTTGAAAAGAAAAAGCTTCTCATTCCAATGCAATCGAAATATTGTAAATTATAATAAAACATATACATGAGAACACATAGAACAACACATACAGCATTATCTTACAATTATAGCAATGCGTGGACTAGATCTTGTGCGATTTACTCATGTATACAGGGTGGATGGTAACTGGTGGTACAAGTATGGTGGAAAGGGGGTGATTCTACGCGAAAAAAGAAGTCGACAATATAGAATAAAAATTAAAAAAAAATTTTTTTTCTTAATTTTTCCATCGAGACAACGATCTCGCGTACCGAGCTAAAATTCAAAGTCGATTTTCTCGAAAACAAAGCTTCAAACGAAAAATTTTTATTCTATATTTTCGACTTTTTTTTCGCGTAGAATCACCCCCTTTCCGCTTGTACCACCAGTTACCAACCACCCTGTATATCGTAGTATCGTAAATATAGTAATTAGTTGGTTAATAATAAATGGATTAAACAGAAAACAATGGTTATTTAACATGAACTAATCGTAACAACGTATTATAATTAATTAACAACTCTCGTCAACACAGATTCGACTCCCTTTCTGCAACGCTAACAACACTATCTCGACAACGCAATCCGCACTCTCTGACTTCTCAGCTCATACTGCAGTTAATTTGTTTACGTCTCTTAGCAACCCTTTGTCTTTTGTCTTATATCTTTTGTTTACGTCCCATCATGCACACGCTCAACAACCTCTTGTTTACAATTCGCACGACACCCCCTAGGCCCCTCGTCCACGGTACTACAATATTATAACTATTTAATTAACTTCTAATAATCAGTAATTAAATGTGAGAATAAAATAATAATTAACAACTGTATATAACGATTCTTACATTTTAATACTACGAAACTAGGACTATTTCTATCTCTGTGGTATAAAAATTATATTGTTCGCGGTATATTGGTTGAATAACTTTCTTCGCCGCTTGATATTATAATTTGAGGAACACCATAAACATATTGCTTATGTTAGCTCCAATGAATAACGTATCACAAGTAATAAGAGCAAATATAGTTAATAATTGCATTTGTTGGAAATTGTGGATCTCTGAAGCCGAAATAATGTTATAGGAACACTAAATTTATACTGAGGATTAATATTAAGATAATAATATATTTATTTCATGGACAATACCTTATATATTCATCGATACACACTGGCACGCGTCTCAGCACTTTCTTCCATACCCGACTGTTAACCGACTGAACAGTTTACACTCCTTTGTTTTCGAGACGCTGCGCACACACACACTTCCGCACACTGATATTTACATACAAGAATCTCTATTACGCATTTAACCCAGTCCAGCACAGAAAATTATACATATCTCAACAGCATTGTTTAATAATAACAATGTGTGATATGTATTTGAGATTGTCAGAATATAAAAAATAATAATTCGCAAGTATTGCAGTGCTTAGTAAATTACTAATATTAGAATATATTAATTGTTTCAATATTTGAAGAATTTATTTTATGAGAAATCATTAAATAATGTAAAGAGTGCAAAAATACGTATGTAATTGGAATATTTTTATAAAATAGCAAAAGCTCTTGAATAAATTCTCTGAATTCTCAATAGAATGATAAACGTTGCAAATTTGGAATTTTAGAATTTGTGGAAGATCTATCTCTGATAAACAGAAGTTACAGCAACTTAATATTTCCCCCTGATCATGTTAGTTGATTATTAGAAATAAGCATCGTATCGCACAGAGAAGATGAAAGAAGACCATAGAGAAGACCATGACACAATTCGGAAAGTTTCCTTATCCAAATTACAACTTTTCACGAGAGTTTCAATAATTTCTTTCCTTTATAACTACTAGCCTATGTTTAACTTCTGTTCTTACCTTTTTCCTCATCCTTTCGCAAACTCTTAACGAGAAACACTTTCTCGAAAGATTTTCACCGGCACTTCGATACCCGTGTATACTGATACGAACGTAAATGATTCGAAGTTTCGTGCAGCCAGAGCGATTCAGCAGGAAAATTTTGTTCCGTTTCTGCTGCACTTTTATCCTGGCAATAAACTTCTTCTCTCCAGTCCGTTTCATTAATGTCCAGTACCAATTGGGAACCGTAATTATCGGCCTGTTCCTAACTAAAAAAAATCTTTCGATCGTCTATAACAATTTGGTGACTCCGCTGCGATAATAGCAATTACAAGGTGCTTCACGCAACTAAGTGTGAGTAAGCATTATACATAATATCTTCAAACTGGTTAAAGATGGAACAAAAGTTTAGAACAAAAAATTAATGTTATGTATTACTACGTTTCTGCTTTACTTTTAAGTATTTTTTATTATTGATTTGGTTGCAAAATGTAACTGTCCTTCTTTTTATTAATGAAACTGTATTTACAACCTTTCTTGTATAAATTTATTTTCTCGATCATCCTATACGATGTAGCAGTATTAAATTAAGTGATTTAACACTAAATAATTTATGAGATATTTATTATTAAAAGAGAAATTTAAGTACTCAAAAAATCGTGCACAAAATATTGTACAGTTATATTCAAAAAAAGACTATGAAGTTGTTCTTTGTAATTTTATTAATACATACAAATATATACAAATAATACCGTACGAAGTATTAATAAAGCATAATTTTCGTTCGTAATAAAATATAATTTCGCTCTAAAGAAAAGTGCAATTGCATCTTGTAATCGTATTAACGCTTTCATTACGAATTCGATTTTCATTACCTACAGTGCTATATATTCACAAATAATTTTCATGCACCTACTTTTATATTATAAAGCTCTACATATGTATTTTATACGAACTGTTATGAAATATTTTTTTTACAATTTCGTGCTTTTTTATTCGTGCCTTACATTCGAATCAGTATCATGCACATAACGAAAAATGTGATATATGAGTCCTAACAAAAAAAATGAATGTTTTAATGTGCACAAATTCATCAAAGTAGTGAAGGACATATAATACAATTTTTTTACCAACACTAATTTTCATTTTGTTAATTATTTTTGTATTTAATTGTTTAAAAGATGTAGCTGTATTTTGCTGCGTGAAACACCCTCTATATCGTGATGCGTAGTAACGAGAAAAAGTCGGACTTTTCCCCTGAAAATTCTACTTTATGTCGACTTCTTTTCGTATCCAATCTCGTATGCGTTCACGCGACGATATTTGAATTGATCTATATCTTTCGTAAACGTAATTTGCTGAACAGACTCATTTGCCCTAATTGAAAAGAATGGTCCTCATAAAAACAGCATCGACAAGCTGTTAAACGTGATATAGTAAAATAATATTTTAATGTTAAAAATAACAGTATCACCGATCAAAGATTACTCGAGGTACAATTTTTTCGAATACGTATTTATTAAAGTATTAAAGAATTTCTTGAACGATGTAAATAATTTATTATTAAATTAGTCAGTTATTCTGTGGCGAAGATTATGTAATTGATATCCAAACGAAATTTTTAATTTTCGCTTATTTCATCTTTACTTTTTTTTGAATTATGAATACTCATACTTAATGATATAAAAGCATATATTAAATGGAAAAATTTTATTTCACATTTTTGGCTTATTTTCGCATGTAAAATAACATCCTGCAGATGTTTATTCATACCTAATCAGTGTTTAGCCAAATCTAAGTATACTCGATAAATTTCCAAACTTGATTTTCTCAGAAACGAATGAAAAAATTGTATTCTATATTTTCGACTTATTTTTTCACGTAAAATCACGTTTTATCGGGTTGTACTACCACTTACGGGACACTATAATAAATAATAATAATAATAATAAATAATAATAAATGTAATAAATAATATAATTTAACATAAGTTTATGGTAAATGAAACGTTAAAAAAGAACTAATTATTTAATAGTAGTAATACATTCTATTGTTTGCATATTTCTAAACTACAACAAAACTTATACTTGTTATCTACTTAAGTTACTTAACTTACTTAGCTTATTTATTAAAGTTACGTAATTTTAAACGTCATACTAATATATAGAATATATAGTAATTCATATAGAAGTAACTCTATATAATGAGTATATATAAATTTAACGAAAAAAGATCTTTCTTACATATTTTGTCTCTAAGACCTCTTCTTCTTATTAATTCTGTTGTTGATAGACCTGTATAGATAGATAGATTTCTTTGGTAAAATTCTCCCCTTTGTTCTTGTTACTTCGTCGTCGAACTACTTTTTCTATCTCCTTTAAATATTCCTTTAATATTTCACTATCTGTCTCTCGCCTTATCTTTTCTTCAAATACTACTGCTCTTCTGCCTGCTTCGACTCTAATTTTGTTTCCGTTTATTTCATTCTTTACTATACAGGGTGGTTGGTAACTTTTTTTTTTTTTATTAACGTGGAGGAAATCCGCACGAACACCAGGCCGCTTCTGGGGAAAAGCGGCGTGGTAGTGCCGGACTCCAATCGACTAAAACCTCCACGATGACCGTCCCGGCTGCGATCGAAATGGGGCCCGGGAGCC